CCTGCCTCCGCCGACGGCTGCTGCTGCAGCTGCTGCTGCTGCTGCTGCTGCTGCTCGACTCCTTGCTGGGCCTCAGCCCCCACTGGCTGCTGCTGCTGCCCATAAACGGCCCCGTCATGCTTGCCGCCCTGATGGGCAGCGCCCGCGCCGTCCCCAGCTGGCCACCGCCGGTCGCCTTCCGCCCCCGCCGGCCCGGCGCCGCCGCGGCCACGGCCGCGGCCGCCATCATACCCAAAGCGGCCCCCGCCCCGGCCTTCATAGGGCGGGCCCCTCCCGCTGCGGCCACCGCGGCCTCGACCGCCACGCCCCTGGCCGCGCCCACCCAACTCGCCGCCGACCCCCTCGGCGTGGTGGGTACTGGCGCCCTGGCTGGGGGCCGTCGTAGGCTGCTGCTGACCCGACGGCTGAGGCGGCGGGGCCTGAGGCGGCTGAGGCGGGGCCGGCTGCTGCTGTTGCTGCTGCTGCTGCGGCGGCGGGGGCGGCGGCCGCGGCTGCTGCTGTACCTGCTCTGGCTCGCGGGGCCGCTGCAGAATGTGCACCTGCGGCTGCGGCAGCTGCTGCTGCTGCTGCTGCTGCTGCTGCTGTTCGTGCTGCTGGATGGCCCCCACCACCGCTGTCGCGTGCGGCCCCAAGCCGTTGGCGCCCACAGCCAAAGGCTGGTGCTGCTGCTGCTGTTGATGCTGCGGCGGGGGCGGCGGCAGCAGCTGCGCGCCTCCGCCGCCGAACGCGCTGCTTGCCACGCTGCCGTATGCACTGGCGGTGCTCCACTCACTCGAGTGCGTGCTGCCCGCATCGCCGGCATGCCCATTGGGTCGCGGCGGCCACTGCTGCTGCTGCTGCTGCTGCTGCTGCTGATGGTGGTGGTGGGGGTGCGGCGGCGTCGCCGCCGCCATCTGTTGCTGCTGGTAGAGCTGCTGCGGCTGCGGCTGCACCGGCGGCGGCGGCGGGGGCGGCGGCTGGGCGGCGGCGCGGTCCCGCTGCTGTTGCTGTTGCCAGCTGTACGCGTCGTAGTGCGGCGAATGGTCTCGTGCATCATGAACCCCTTCAAGTGCGGGAGTAGGAGCGTAGGCGCCAGCGCCATGGGCGCCCCCTGCCTGGTAAGGGGGCCTGGGGCCACCGCCAGCTCCCCCGCTCGAGGGCGGGCCCGGCGCCCACTGTCGCGGCTCGTAGGGCGCCGCCTCGCGCCCGTCCGCCGGCGGCGGGGGCAGCGGTTGGTGGTGCGGCGCCGGAGCCGCGGGCGGCGGCGGCGGCGGCGGCTGCTGGTGGTGGTGCTGCGCGGGCGGCGGCGGCGGCGGCGGCGGCACAGCCTGCTGCGAGCGCGGCGGCGCCGTAGGGTGCGCAGCCAGGCGCAGGCCGCCGCGCAGCGCGAGGCGCCC